TGTTAAAGCAGTTTTGGAATACGGTACTAGTTTAGGGGTATTTTTTGCCTTTGGAACCAAACTGACAATTTAAATTTAAATAATTAAGTTACAATTTTCAATTTAATAATTCACAATGTCTTCTGGTACCTAACCCGTAAATTATCTTAACTCAACTGTACAGGTACAGTACTGTATTATTTTCATACATTCTGTAAATTACTGACTGTATTCAACTAATGTATTTTCCCTTCTTTTTGTTTGATTTAAAGTACAGTACTAGAAACACATTGTTTTCTTTGTATTTTGGGAATAATGAAATATTTGCCTGTACAATATTTCATACAGTCTGCTAATGTCTTTGTTTGTAGCCTTTATAATACAGTGTGCTCTCTTATAACTGAAGTTGACATGAGTTTCATTGTACTGAAAAAGACTTGTTAGCCACTAAGAACTAATTATAGAATGGACAGAGATGGAAAAATAAAAACATACCCCAAATATTATCTGCTTGATCCTAGTATTAAGTGGAAATAAAGTTACAACACTTTCATGAATTATAATGTACTTTTATTATTACCAAGTTGAAGATTTTCAGAAACCTAAACCACCACCTCCATGTTTACATAATACTGTACAGTAAATCCCCTTTTTATGTGACTGAAAGCAAAAGATGTTGCTGTTTTCATATCCCATTACAGGTTGCTGGGTACACAAAGCCAGGGCCACTTAAAATATGCCAGCGTAAACAAACTGAAAACTTCTGGGACATGTAGTCCCAGGTTTTGGGTGGAATACCCAGATTTTACATTACAGTAATTAATTTTAAATGTAATGCTTTGATAGGCAACCTGTTTTTGAGTGGAACCAAAAGATTGGACTGTCTGATTTGTACGGTGTTACATTATCCTGTCGGGTATATAAAACAAACATGCTATACAACATGAAGAGCAGTAACATTAGTACAGGTACTGTATTAGTAAACAGCCGGATTTAATAGCTCTCTTAAATTTAGATAACAATTTTGTTTGTGTGCAGAATATGGATAATGAAATGTATTTTGCTTATTTAAGGGCTATAATGATGTATCCCTATTGTCTATTCATATAATGTTATGAGATGTAGGTTAAAGATAGAAACAGGTATTGTGCACTGAATTCATGACAATATTTGATAAAATTTCAAAATGTACAGTAAACCCTTGATTACTCAGCATTCAATATCTCGGAATTTCATATAATTTGGCATGGCTATGTTCTCGGAATTTATTATAAAATAACTCGGTGTGAAGGTACAGTATGATGCTTATGTGAAGGTGTGACGCTGGTGTGAAGCTGATGTCAGGCTGCTGTGATGGTGTATGTCTGTGGGGGTGTGTGATTTTTTTTATTTTTTATTAATACTGAATAACTACTACAACTCTAAATCTAATTAATCCAAAGAGACGAGAGATTCTTTACTCAGCCTCAGACAACCTCTGCTCGGACTGCTCCGTGGGTGGCACTTGTATTGAGATTCGAGATTGGCACGAAAACATTCTTTACTCCAGGCCCTGGTAAGGTCTTAAGTGCGTAACAAGGTCAGCAACTACACTATTCCATTAACAACTAAAAATTATGCGAGATATAAGCTTTCTTGGGAGGAATCCTAGAAGGGTCACTCATGGCTTTCTTCCCTCGGCAAGGCCACATCTAGTTAGGGTAAATCAAGTAAACTAAAAAAGGACATATAAACAATTTGGCTAGGCGCTGTGGGTTTGTACTTTCCATGATCATTTACTCTGTCTTACTTGCTGTCATCATTTCCCGGATAGAGGAATCAGATACAGTATAAGGTTTCCATCCTTTAGGTAAAATCCTGAACCTAGAAAATTATTCCTTATTAATTTAATCAAATGTGGCACATCTGCAAACACAAATATATCCCGATCAGCACTCGGGCTTTTTAAAGATATTTTCTTTCTTTCTACGGGATCAATGTCAAATTCTTAACATATCCTAAGGTTACTGGACCCTAAGTCGTGCACCATTGCAACGACAGGGTGACCTGCATGCTCAAGCTCTTCTATTAAATTAACAAGATCTTTTGTATATATGGGACATCAAAGTCAGAAAAAATTGGCTGCTTCCAATTGCCTACCAGTCCGCTTAACGTGACAACCTGGACTTTCTCATGAGGTTTATAGAGGATATCTTTACCATGTGTCATAACTCCATTCACTTGCAATAGCCATTTCATCTAATGATATCACAGCTAACCTTTCAAGTGGACTAAAAGTGTCAGACTTTGTCTTCATGAGTGACAGCACAAAGTGTAAGATGCCAGGTTCACATGCAAAATTTTTGGCTCGTTCATTAAGAGTTGTTTTACTCAGCAATGGAATTCCTTTTTTAGTTCTCAAATATTTATAACATTTGGGACTCATGCTTCCTAAAGTTAAAGCCTCATAGAGTGCTGTGTACACACAAATGGCCCGGGTAAGACAGGGGTCAACTTGTCAAGTACAAGGAGAAACAGTCATGGTTCATCTGACGTCATCAATCCCACCCGCGCGCCGGCCGACCTCTCTATATTGACCTTGGCCCGGGTTACTTCTGGTCCGCTACAACGGCACTGAGTGTGAGCTCTTTCAAGACCAGACTTGACCAACACTGGAGCAGGTTCAGACACATGTGGAGCCAGTGCATGCCCGGTACTTGCCAATCAGTGCGTATCAGAGACGTGACCGACCGACCAAGCGGCTAACGAGCCGATCAGTGGCGAAGAGGATAAAAGCAAAGTAAAAGTGAAAACATGACTAAGATCAGCTTTCCAATCAAAAGGGTATTTGGGGCACCAGAGGCATTATTTAAATTATGAACAGACAGCTACACTCCTCATACTTGATATACAGTATACATTGCCCATAATAAACCCTATAACTGATATATTTGGGAAGTCTTAATGTTCAAAGTTATAAGATTGGCAAATTCCTTTTCACATAATTTGAGTTGACGAACTTGTCCTGGTACAGTTATTCATACCTGTCTAGATTCTGGCCATTGTAGACAATATAGGCAGCACTTCTCTCTACTGCCTTCCACTTCCCTTACTGTAAAGCTAGAAGAGGATAAGATAATATTTGTTGGAATTATATCAAGGATTTGTGCAGTAACAGCTGATTGTTCTATTAAGGATTCTGAAACGATTGTCAAGACCAATTTAATAATTCTTGAGTTTGTTAAACATAATTCAGCATTATTATTCCTAAAATAAAATTTTAACTGGTATACTGTAGTCGATAGTGTGCGTGTCTCTCTCCTGTACCTCCTGGGTTCGAGCCCAAGGTCGAGGATAGATAAAAAAAGATGTTCCCTAATGCACCGATGCCCCAATACCGCTGCTTCGTATAACCGACGATTACGTATACAGAAATACCTCGCAAGTTTCGTTGATAACCCGGAAACCCAACAATCGGGAGAGGATTGACTCATTCCCATTTTCTTTGCTCTTGTTTACACTTATCATGTCTCTCTGACCGAAATTTTTTCATTATTTCCGATTTCGTGTGTTACAGGTATGCAATTACAGTGATCCCTCGGTTAACGAGCACAATCCGTTCTAGAAGGTTGCTCGTTAACCGAAACCATTGTTTCAATGGGTTTTTGGGTAATTGGTTCCAGCTCACCGAAAATTGCCTAAATTCAACAAAAAAGGTAGAAAAGTACACTTACTTTGAGGTGTGTATGTAGAAGGCTCCTGGATGATGATGATGGGAATTAGAATGGGGGTGGAGAAGGCATTGGGGTGGAAGAAAAGTCACCCCATGGTGCCATTTCACCCATAAAATTTTAGTTCTCTTGGTGCAATTCAAGATTATTTCCTTTAAATCAACACTGCACTGCATTATATACAGCTAGACCCCGACTTACGACGGGGTTTGGGACCCAAATTCAAGTCGTAAGTCCGAATGGTCGTAAGTCCGACATAGATAATAAAAAAAAAATAATAATAATAATAAAAAAAATCTACAATGAAATACAGTACAGTAAAAGTAATAAATAATGAGGAATGGATACAGTACATTGAAAGTAATAAATAATGAGGAATGGACACAGTGAGACTGAGCACTTACCTTTAATGTAGTCAGCTGAATGCACATGGGGCCCCCATAATTTTCTAATTATACATGGAGACTACATTAACTGGAAACGTTTCGGTATAGAAAATGCATGCGTCATTTGAAGAAAAGAAAAGAAGAAAAAAAAATAGTCACAACTGCGGCGGTCGTAAGTCCCGGCAGTCGTAAGTCGAAGCAGTCGTAAGTCGGGGTCTAGCTGAATTGTCAATATGTAAAATAAATTTCAAAATGACAAATAATTTGCTTGCAAAAACAGAAAAAAAGCATTTAGTTGAAGAGTCTCAAGCAAGATGTTACCTCCACTGAAAAGATACAAAGACTGACGCCTGTATGGTGTGTTGGCAGGCTGGATGGCACGCATAAAACTAGTTTCATTACCTTCAATTATGTTCAATAATTGTTAAAATGAGTAAAAAATTTAATATTAAACTTTTAAAATTATTGAATAGTATAAACTTCTTGATATTTGCTAAAATGGTAAGGAATTTAAGCCCTAGAACCGATTACTGTACAGTATTGGCGGACTAATACTACAGCTGGTGGACCGCCAAATGCAAGCGAAATCATGTTCAGGTTGGCTCATAAGAAACTCGTCAATCGAGGGATTGCTCGTTAACCAAAGTTAAGAATCTTATGGAAGGTAACTTGTTAACCGAGGCGCTCGTTAACCGAGGGACCACCGTATGCCTAAATGCCCACGTTTTAGTTCCTCTTGTGCTGGCAGCTTGGTGATGTGATAAGGCATAATAAAACATAGTAAGAGTGGTGATGGACCAGCAAAGATTGGTAGAGACTTGAACTTGCCACCTGAGACAGTCTCTACCATTCTCAACACAGGTAAATATCTGTAACAGTCTCAATTTATGCTTTACAATGCTTATTTAAGGCTAATTATGCTTGCTTTATATGTAGACTTTATTTTCTTGCTTGACAGTGTGCATGACAAAGACACATCAAGGGTAGATGGGAGTGTTTGGAGGGTGGCCGGTCCCTAACCCCCCTGAATATTAAGTTCTTATGGGATTAAATGCTCCGATAACCGTTGATTCACTAACCAACGACTTTTCCCGGTCCCTGTATGCGCCGGTTATCGGGGTATGCTTGCACTTATATAATTTTAACCCATTTCTTAAAACCTCCTCGTATCCCCGTTAAAGATACTACGTACTCTAAAAAAAAGAAAAAAAGAAATCACGTAAAATAGTATAGGTAGTAAGGTTCGGCACACTGATACTATACATATGAAGGCGGGACTGAGAGTCTGAGACAGTGAGACATGTGCCGAATGACACCCAGGCACAGACATTCAACTGCATGTACAAACACACAAATCACCTGAACTGATGCTGGATATTTTATATTTTTTCACAAATATATCTGGTGAATGGAGTATCCAGAGTACCTCAGAGAGTTCGAGAAAAGCGAATTCCGATATATTGAAGTCTGAATTATAGGGGTTTTACTGTACTCTAATGTGGCTTAATAATAAAGAAAATAATAAAAAAACTATAAAATAACTGAATGTGTGTGGAGGCGGTGGGCTATAAATGTGTTGCCGACTCACCAGCCCAGCTGCCACGTTTATTGTTACATGTAATGAAACTATAAAAGTTGTCAAAAATCATTACAATACTGTACTCTAATGTGGCTTAGAAATAAAGAAAATATAATATATAACTGTAAAATAAGAAAAATGAGGAGCATGGGTGTGTATGTTGGGGAAGTGAACGTTTATATATGGAGGCAGTGACTTGTAACTGCATAGATGACTTGTCTTTCTGTCTTCCTCCCTCCTTCCCACCCCTGTTGTGAGTCAGCTGGGTGACTGCCCAACTATACCAGTAAATGTGAGGAATAAATAAAAATAATACTACACACAAAACACTTGAATTTAACTCACCACAAATGATTTCGAGTGCTGTGTGAGGCGAGTTTATCCAACGTAATTCCCCTATGGGCTCTTTTAGCACTACTGCTTTAACTGGCTCTCTGATGGCCTCTTTTCACTCAACTTGAATAAGGGTAATACACTGAACAGTCTTGAATAAGCTGGGATCAAGAGATTAAGCGTACACACTGGGAGATAACAACATACTGAGTTGGCGTGGGAACACTGGTGTACCCAAGGTTGGTAGTAGCAAACACCAAGAAATCCACACCAAATAAATTTTAATTTCTGTGATTTTTGTTTTGTCTAATTGCGATTTTTGAGTAGAAAATGTTTAAAATTTACTCCTTTTCCGCAAGGTCGAATTTATAAATTCCGTACGGGCAAATCTCCGTAACCTGAGTTTCCGTAATCTACGGGATACCTGTAATGTATTTTCAGTGTACAGTATATTGCATGTAAATTTACAAAATTTTCTCATTATATAATGTTTTTGGGTGCTTGGTAATGAAGATGTAGAAGAATGTCTGAGGAACATATACAGTACCTCACTCTTCTTATAGATATGGATATGATATACAGTACAAAATTTGACTCTTCTTACATGTAAATGGTGAGCATTGAAATACATGTACTGTATTAATAATCTATACAATGTCAACATTTCTTGGTTATAAACTTTAATCAGATAGTTGTACCGACTGCTAATACATGTACATGTCAATTGCAGACTGCAATCCATTTTCACAAATTTAAAATCAATATTTATACCTGAAAACCGTAAGTTAAACCGTCTTGAAAAATATTTCAACTATTAATTACACCCACTAAATATCATCCATGTGACCAATATACAGTATTATTTTTTTTATAACAAAGAAAAGCAAACATGATGTTTACCACAAGAGTGCTTCTTTATACAAATCATGATCAGCAGAAAGTGGTATCCTGTGAATATGCTCCTGCAAGGCGAAATTCATTCTGAAGAAGAACAGCAAACATGCGATGAGGAACGGGACGTGAATAAGCTGTTGGCGCTGGTACGAGTGTTCGCAACAGATATTCTCGACCAGCTGGTCGTCCTAACTCACTTGCAGTGCCACTAGCACCAAAGTTCAAGGATGACCGACGATCACCATAACTACCAGGGCTTTCTTGTGGGGAATCATCTACCAACATTGATGCCTAGTTGAAAAATACATATAATATTCACGTTAGAATTAACACACATTTATAAAAGCAATAACTTAAATTTCCTCATTAATAATTTCAAAGCTAATTACTGTAGTGAAGAACTTACCCTATTAGCCTGTTGAAAGAGCTTCCTGATGACTGCAGCAGCTGGTCCCCTCGGCCCGCCATCTAATACCACCTCAGGTGAGTCCAGCAGCCTCAGCACCAACTCTTCCAGAGGTAAAGAAGAGGATGTATGTGATGCAGTGATGTCTCCCATGAGTTTATGTCGTACACTCTGTGCTCGGGCTATACAGACTTCAACCTCTGCTATTTGATCAACAACTTCTTGATACCTATATAGGAACAAAAACAAATACAACAATATAAGTGAGTAGAAGGCTGTGAAGGAAAAAGATATTGTACTAACTTAATCGTTTGGATGCTGCAATAAATTTCACGGGTATTCTACAAAATCCTTCTATTTTTCAACCAAAAATGAGTGTCATTTTATAAATGACAAAAACTTCATTAAAAAAAATAATGCCCCCCAAAAAAAAACAGCATGATATTTTCACAAAAACTACTCCACTGAATGAAGAAGCTATTGAAGCTAACAAAAGGAAAAAGGTTGAAAAAGATGACAAATTTACCCCATATATGAGTAGGCCTTGATTTATGATTTTCTAATGATTACAGTATACAGTATAAGAAAAAAATATTTCCAGTAATTTTATAATTCTATGTTACCCTTAAAAATATATTAAACTAAAGACGGTTGCCAGCCCTCAGCTTATAAAAGTTCACACCTTGGTTGGCTAAAATTGATGTAAAAAAAAAAAATAAATAAAAAATAAATCCCCACAACCCTTAAAAAATTTGGAATTCACGAAGAAATTGGATAATCACATCATCTGAATGTTCCGCAGCATGAGAAAATGTTCCGTAATGTCAAAATGGTATGGGAATTCCCTTCAGCTGAGCTGAACCCACCATGCTGTGCCATGTTTTCCACTGCCTCTTGTATGCTGGCTCCAAAACAGAAAACATCCCCACATTTTTTATTTTATTTTATAGTTTTGTATTATACAGTAAAAAAAAAAAAGTACAGGTATCTCTCGCTTAATGATTTCATGGACATTTTAACTCTAGGATTGATTAAATCAATATGCAGGACTATTTGGATCTGTTGCTAAGCTACATCGCCAATCAGGAAGAACGATGTCTACTTTGTGTCTGACAAGTACGTACAAAGAAGGAGGCATCAAAGAGTCCACATGTCAGGGTATCAGGGAGTCAGTAGAGTGTACAGTACTCATTACATTATGTGAATCTACTCGTCTGCCACCACAAAACGTCATCCTGACTGTTTCCACAAACAAGTCCCAACTCATTAATCTCATTTGTAAAGACCTCATTTTGCACACAGATGACATCTACCACACAAGCTTGTCATAACAGGAAGTGACCTAGTGCCTGTAGAACTCGCCAATGGAATAGTGATAAGACAACATAACAAGGCTACAACCGAAGAGGAAGCTGACACTGATCGTGCAACAACTGGTTAAAGCAGGTGGTCAGCCAACTCTTGTGATGGCATATAATACACACATCTTCATTCTCTTATTACACTTAGTGTGTAATGGGGATATTACTTGGCCCATCATGATGATGTCTCTCATTCAAAGCCAAGCTATGACTGACATCAATGCCACAGCACTCAAGCACCATGCCATTATTCCTGACTTGCTGGCTGCTCATGAAGCAACCAGTTGTGGTACCACTGCAACTGTCTTTGGAATAGGTAATGGCATAGCCTTGAAGGTTCTGCATTTTGGTGCCCATCGTCTCAACTACCAAGGGGACACAACCAAGACCATGCTCGATGTTGTACACTCGATTGAGCAGTTCATTTTGGCTTGATATGGGCAGTTGCAATGTCAGTCGATTACAGAAGCAACCATCTAAAGGTACGGTCCGCCAAGGTGGGCAAGAGTATGGCTGTCAGTGCTCCAAAAGCACAGACTCTGCCTCCTACCAATGAGGTATTATGGGAGAATGTTGCACGAGCACACCTCCAGGTTGCTATATGGCGCAATGCACTTGAGTTGGACCCACCCATTCTCGACCCAACTACACACAGTTGGTCAAAGGAAGGTGGCTCTAACTGTATGGCCTCAACAACAGTGCCCAAAGACACACCTCTCTGGACCCAGCAGAGTTACTGAAAGTCCTCAAGTGTTCGTGTAGCAGTGAGCAGGCCTGCAGTGGTCAGCGATGTGGCTGCAAGAACAATAGCTTAGCATGTACAATATTCTGTGATTAGCAAGGAGGCAATGTGTGTAACAACGAATACACTATACAGGTAACAGTACAACAAATTGAGAATGATAAACTTGATAATAGTAACTAATGGATAATAAACAATGTAAGTTTTAGTTTCTTGAGATGCTACTGTTGCAATCTGCATTTTTATCAATCTTAAAATTGAAATGATCATAAAATTAGATTTGCCCTGACCTGAAACATAGAAAAGCATGTATTATTTGTATTATGCATAACGAGTGGTTGCAAAGATATGCTGAAAAGTGATTCTCGAGGATATTTTCACATCCTTGGTGGCCAAGATGAATAATCAGCAGAGAAAAACTCTATACAGCTCTTCCCCGACTTACGACGGGTTTAGGGACCCAAATCCAGGTCGTAAGTCGAAATGGTCCTAAGTCGAAAATGCTTAAATGTTACATAGAAAATCCAAATGGGTGTCTCTTTTTCTTCTCAGCACCACAAAACTCTCACTTTTAAGCTTGTCAGTCATTTTAAAGTGAATAACAAACGAAAATTTTGTCTGTGTACTGACGTTGGGGCTCGAAAATACGTAATTTGACAAAATTTTGGTACGACTGAGGCAGGTCGTAAGTCGGGGAGGAGCTGTAATCCGATAACTGCGACATATATTCTCAAATGATAAGCAGAGGAGTGCGACATACATTCTGGAATTCAGAGTGTTTTGAAAGCAATGCGTGAAAAATTTCATATCTCGCGGAGTCAAGTATGAGATATTTACACTCGCCATGTTGTTCCACTGGGTAATCCTCCCACCCACGGCGCTGATGACGCAGTCATATCTCGGTCATGATGGAGTCAAGAAGTGCATCCTCGCCCCATGATGATATCACTGAACCCACCCACCTCTTTCATTTCCACTGGCCATGGTGCAAGGCCAGAGACAAGTGGAAGGAAGAGACTGTCTTTGAAAAGGAAATCACTCACAGGATATCGCAGAAGTAGTGAAAGTGAGGAATCTGTGGGCGACGCAAAGCAAAGGTGGCATCGTGTTTTTGACCGCAGGTCACATGCCCAGTGCAAAACTTCATGACACAAAACCACTCATTCTGTCTCTGCTTCCATCTACATCAACAGCAACAAGTGCTGCTCTGCCTACTAGAGGCGATAAAGCTGGAGGTGTGGGGGGATAGTGAGTGAAGTGAGGAGGGAAGGAGAAAAAAATGTGCTACTATTACTCAAGGGATACCTGCATATATAAAATATAAACATAATATAAAGCCTCATTTAACCGACCCACCCCCTGGTGGTGCAGGCCTCAGTTTGTTTGCCAATATCAAGGAAGCGTCTGTGTACACTGTACAGTAACATCGTCAACACTTGATTTTCTTATTTTTCTTTGTTAAAGTGAGTCCTTTGTTTTTATTTTCTTATTTTTTTATATTACCTGTCAAGTAAAAGGAAAGCATTAGGTACTAATTATTCAGCAGAAATAAAAAAATAATGAAATTAAATTACTGCACTGTGAAGCATGTTTTGTTATTTTCTTCTTAGCTTTAGATTTTCTAAGTTTTCTTCTTTCCATCTTTTCTAGGAATGTCTTCTAAGAAGCATGAAGTGAAATGCAAGAGTGTTGTACTCAATATTCAGGAGAAAATACAGATCTTAGATAAACTAGACTCTGGTGCTTCCATTGCTAAGTTGCTGAGTATGGTGTTGGCGTGACAATGACGAAATATCTAAAGAAAGATAAAGACAAAATAAGACAGTTTTCCATGGAATCTGATGTTGGTGAGAGTGCAAAAGCGAAAAGAAAAACACTGAGACTTCCAGCTTCTTGAGAGTTAGAAGCAGTTTACAAGTGGTATGCCCAGCAACGCTCGAGTGGCTTGCCTGTGCGTAGTGTAGACATATAGGATGCGGCAGAGCACTTGGCTAAACATTTAAAAGTGGAAAATTTTAAAGCATCAAGTGGATGGTCATGGAGTTTTTGTAACAAGCGTGGATTGTGAAGATGTGGACAGTGTTGAACTATTTCGGAACAAATTAAAGGAAATCATAGAGGAGATAGAAAATAAGACTATAAAATTATCTACAGTCAGAGAATATTGTCATGGTATAATAGATTATATCAACTCTACACTACACCAGATTCTGCCATACAAGATTATTATGAAAACTTTAGAACCTTTAGGGAATTGAAAGAAGCTTACACAATTGAAAATTCATAGCTTCTTCAAGCCAAGGCCTAGTCAGACACCTACACCTACAACATCAGGTGTGGGCATTTCCCAGCACACCATAGTTGGATATCAATTCCCCCAAACAACATCAACCACAAGTCCAGGTGAAGTCTTCAGACTCAAAATAACTACAGTACAGTACTGTATTGTATTAAATTAATTTGTTTACAACAAAGAGAGAAAGCAAGTCAGTGGGCGAGTGAGATAAAGTTAATTGTACTGTATGTATTGTTATTTATGTATTACAGTATACTGTATATTGTACAGTCTCGTTCAAGATTCTTCGAACACTGCTGGAGACAGCTGGCAACTCAAGGCCGTTTGTTTACTATACTATAGTACGTAGTAAAAATTTTGAATGAATGTAAAAGTGATTGGTGATTGGTTACTTAGTTCCCCGTTCCTTAATTATTGGCTGGGCTTTTTCATTCATTCATAATTTTTACTACGTACTATAAACAAAAATCCATAAACAAAATATTTTGATATGTTATACCGTATTGCAGAAACTCAGGTGCGGGAAGAACTAACTAAGCAGCTGGGTTGTTTATGACGAAAGTTGTGGTGTCCGTCACCAAAGCATCAGAAGGAAGAATAATGCATGTTTTAGCATTCAAGATGCTAGTCAGACAAGACAGTAACTACCCAAAAATTTTCTACCTCCATGGACTAAAGTCAAATTAGCCTTAGGTCGAATAAAGATGTAAGCCCACAAAAGTCGAATGCGGCAGCAAAGGGTTAAATTTCAATGCAACAAGAAAGAATTTTTGTCAATACCACAGTGTTCTTGAATATCTGACTTTCATTTGAGAGTATAAAAACATAATGCCCACGATAATAGTCAGTGAAGCCTAAAAGAATACATCTTGGAGAAAAATACAGTGGGGAGACATTTCATACTTGTTTGTATCAGGAGGTTGCCTGGAGAGTCTGACAATCCTCTGTGCAATCATATCTAGGATAGTGGCAAGAGTATTACTGTGGCATGGCTGGGGTAGGCTGCTAGGAGCGGGAAGTGAAAATAGTATCCTCTCTTCTGCCAGTCGACACAAGGAAGCATGTAATATAGTAGGTTGCAAGTGGCTACACACAGCACCAGGACCCATAGATGCTAGCCAGTGGAGAACTTGTTCAGCTTCCCGTGTGTCATCAAACAAGCGCTTCTGACGTCTAGCTGGTACAGGCTTTGCATTATTCCATACCTATAAATAAAAACCAAGGATTAATCTTGGAAATCCCATATCATAGACAAGTGGGACAAGGAGACTAAGATAACTGAGAATCACTGATACCTTCCTGAGAATGAATCTGTTCTGAATCAGAAATTCTAAGTGGCTGCTTAAGTTAACAAGAGTGGAATTGGCTCATATATATTCCATGAAGCTTTAGATTCTTTTTACCTTTTCAATGAACAAAAATACTTCTAGGTCAAGGAGCTTTCACTCTAAAAGTAACTACAAGACATTTCAAATAATTATCAGGAGCTATAATAGATCTGTTTGTGTCATCGACCTAAATGATTTGTTGATTCTAAGGTCATCCTGTGAAGCAGTGAGACAGGATATTCAAATGGTGCCGAGTTGATGGAGCAGATTTCTTGGTGAATAAGGCACCTAGAACTTCTTTGAGCTAGATTTTTAAGTGTTTAAGTTTACAATGCAAAGTTAACAAAGGGTTGTCAGGCCTTCCTTACAGAATTGTTAAGGTGACTGCTCTTTTTGGGACTGGCACTGCTTTGGTTTACCTAGTCTATGAAAACTTCATATAAGGTATACAGTAAATGGGTTCTTTACCTCCAACTTTCCCTGCAAGAACTTAATTATTTTCCAGTATCTGTGATATTGCAGACTGACATGTTATATGGACAGCAAGAGAGAGACCTGGCATGTAGCCAAGTCTTATAATGTGACCAATCAGTTTGAAACATTGAAAATTCGACTCCAATCCTCTCACTTTCAAATTTTGACAAAATACATCTAAAATTGGAAAAAGTTGAGCAGTTTCAAAATTTTCACCTTCAAACACTAAAGATGTCATCATTTTCTTATGGTAAAAAGATTCTCTCATGAAATAAATGCCTCTCACTACCCCTCTTACTTTCGATTTTCTCTCCTGCATCTGTATTTCATTTCAAATAGTTTGTCATCATACTGGGATTGTTTCAAGAAATGTTTTGTACAAGCAAAATTTTCTTAAATATAGACTGGTTTCCATAGTAAACAGGGGTTACGTTCCCTGTAAACAGTGGATTCATATTAGTACCACATTGATAAATGCAAAATTACCAGCATTCTGAATCACTACTCATTAGTATCAAAGTTAATGACTCACCTGCTCACTGTATCCAATGAGCACACGATTTTATCCCACTTTTCACTGTAATACGTACGTAATTTCAGCAAAAATATTACATTTCCGTGAATGCATTATATCAAGCACAGTATGAATAGAATATAATTGTAATATAACAGAATTTTAACCGAAAACTATTAAAAAAACGAGTAACATCTCAAGAACATCGGAAGGTTAGGTAAAATCTTTTGTTTTCGTCATGTATTTTATCCTATTTTACATTAAAATACATAACGTTTCAGCAAAACTACTATTTATTTCCGAGAATATATTCATTCAGGCACAGTTAAGGTAAAATATACATGTGATGTAACAGTTTTTTAACTGAAAACGATTCGAAAAACACGTGTACCGTCTAGCTGATACACTCAACAGCTGGTGGTGCGTCATGCGTCGTTGTAAACAATAGGAGGTTGAAGTAGATTACCGGGTATTATATTAAGTGTGAAATAACGAAAAGGTTTTTATTACCGATATTTTTTGTATATCAATGAGAACTGTGATACCGTATATGATATGATAAGTTAGCCTGTGCTAAGAACTTCAACATAGACTACTGAAAGCACGTTGTAAGGTAATTTAGCCTATTGTAAGTTGGTGAGCTTCATTTGCTGAAGGAACTGCACAACTTTTCATTACTAATTGGTACATATTTTACGTTTCCATTGTTTACTGGCAGTAAATGGTAAATATTTTTCATGTCTGAAGCTAAAAGTTGCTCCTCGCCCTTCCCATCATGCACGGGTTCAACCTAACAAAACTATTACTCATGTATAGGACGACCCCCAATTTTTTGCCTAAAAATTTGGTCTTAAAAACTCGAACTATACACGAGTACATACGGTAATAATTCCTTGAGATAAATGTACAGTATATATCAGATGCCACTAGGAGAGCTCAGGCTTTCAATTGGCTTAGCCATGTCAATATTGTTATTATTGTCCACTCTGTACCTGTATTTTTCTGGCTAAATAAACTGTTCCAATATCAATATCAGTATAAAAGTACAGTACACAAGGTAAAATTCTCATAAATTTTAGTGTATCACTAAAAACTTGAATTTACCTCCATCCACATATTTCCTGGAATCTGCATGCGGGCACTCAGACTGCCACAGGGAGGCTGGCTTGAGTCATCAGATGCTTCTTCTATCCAATCTCGAGGTGAGTACCAGCGGACAAAATCCTCAAGCACTGCACCAGGGTTTGCTGCCTGATAAGAAAAAATACATGTACTAATGGTAACCATTTATACCAGCTATATAGTCTGAGGTCTACATAACCATCTCTGGTGATACAGAGCGAGATTTATACAGTTGACACCAGCTGTACTGTATATAGTAGCTATATTTTTTTTAAATACTGCAGTTAAATTTTTTTTAATTCTGAGATGGCGAGATGGACTAAGGGAGATACACTGAAGGGCAGCATTAATGATAAGTGACAATTATTCAACCTATGATTGCTCTATAAGGTAAAAAACACAAATAAATTGTCTCCATCTTAATACTAAATTGGAAATGTTGAAGAATGCTTAGTGAAGAAGATACTCAAGCTCTACATCAGTATGTAAAATAGTAAAATTGTCATTTTATTTTCTGAATACTATATTCCAGGCTGTAGAGAAATATTACAATGGTCATAAAATGTGAAAATAAGTATACACACATACTATACCTTGAAGGACTCCATGTCGGAAAGCAAAGAAGCAGACATCATACGTGCACGCAGCTGTGATCCCACTGAATCTGTTCCTAAGCGTAACAATACATCTGAATGTTCTTCAAGCCGGTCTTCAGTCATTGGTGCTGGCTCTTGGGTGTATGGCACAAACAATTGCTCATTTGTTTTAATAAGTCGTAATTTTCCACACCGCTTCAGGCGGCCTTCTGGTTTATCCCAAGATGAACGACTGCCATTTGACCTTTCCTCTTCTTCCATTTCCTCCTCACATTCATAGAATTCATCATCATCTTCAATATCATCAGTAGCTGAATAAGCAAAAGTAACACAAACATTATAACTATACAGTATTGCCTCTCTATACCGGTAAAGGAAGTTTTTCAGAATAAAACAAATCCAAAAACTTGTCCAATACTGAAATTTGTTCGGTATACTATAAGAAAAAGTTTGGTATTTTAAGTCTAGATAAATTTTCACAATACGCCTACTGTATTTTTTTTTTTATACAAAATACAGTTTAGTAACACAAGACTTTATTAATACTAAACATCATACATAATGCACTACAAAAATATAAAAATAAAGGTTGTTGGTCTGAGTAACTTTCTGCCTCATTTGCACACAAATGCAGGGTCTCAATTGTTTCTCTTACTTTGACAACACAACATATACTGTATATAGTTTCTCACACTTGTTTTGTTGAATATTTTTCCATGTCTGTAATTATTTATGGTGCAATTTAATTATTATTATCATGTTCTTTTTGCCCCAAGGCCCTGGTGTGGGTGGGCTAATTATATCATTAAAAAAATATATATATATATCCCACTGCTGTTTAATGTACAACCATCAAACCTAGTTACTCTCTTTCAAAAATTATTTCTTTTCTAATGATCTTTATATTCTGATCTGTGGGTTTATCTGGGAAGCCTCTTTTACTGTCGAATGCAATATTATTTCATATACTAATTCATGTTACGCTGTCACCACTCAGATTTTTAATCAGAATATACCATGCCACATTTAACCTCTTCAACACTTTGATAGCATGGCTCGAGGTCTAGGACACATGGATTCTGTTGTATTTAATGATACCAATATTGGGGAGAAACATAGGAAACACTGTAGTTAGATACCACTGTAGCTACATCACTTTGCCTCTCCTCCTACCAGGCTAAGCTATGTTACTTTTATTGTTCAACTCATATTTTCGAGTAGAAATACATATTTTTATCCATTTTCATTTACTCTGTTACATGCACACACAATTTTTCATAATGTGAAAAAAAAGGAGATTATCATAAGGTCAAAAACATAAAAGATAATAAAATGCAGTTCTTGCTTCCCAGGTAGTAGTTAGTGTGAGATTCTGGGAGGAAAGGGGGTGTTAGGAGGGGAGTGGTGGTAGTGGGAAGTGTTGGTGGTGGTGGGGAGTGGTGGTGGGGAGTGTTGGTGGTGGCGATGAGAGAGAGGCTTTGAGAGGCAGTGAAAGCGAGTTGACCTTTTTTGGGGCTACTGACCACAATGGTCAGGTTTTCCCCCAAAGGTTCAACCTCCTTCACCTGTTACACAAGAGGAAAAGCGTTCAAGTGCTTGTTTGGAGGCGTGAGTGTGGTGGTGGTGGTGGTGTGAGTTGTATTATTGTTATTTTTCAACTCGTATTTTCGAGTAGACATACAGTACATATTTTTTTTACTCTGTTACAAGTCCACACTATCGTTCATACAGAATGTGAAAAATAAAAGTAAAAGCATAATTACCATAAGGTCATGACATTATGTGTGTGAGAGGTTCATCATAAGAGAATGAGGGAGGAAGGGAGTAGCTTCCATCATGGCTCGTGCTAGTGACAAGACTGCCAAATGACAACACAGTATTTTTTCTTTTAAATATTATTATTATTATTATTATTATTATTATTATTATTATTATTATTATTATTATTATTATTATTTTTATTTATTCCTCACATTTACTGGTACAGTATCTATTGTTATTATGTACAAGAATAGCTTCTTCCACATGCAAATCATCCTCAAGGCAATGTGACACATTCATCTGCTTAGCCTGGCAATCACAGGGGATGGGTAGAACCTTCCACACATTCCATGGGTCACATGCATTATGCCATTATAATATTGCATCATGATCTCTCAGAATTTTGTGAGTTATTGCACATCACTTTTTCATAATACAGTACAGGATTGATCTTTTAGCCTTGTGGTAAATGTTTTTGTTTTTTTTAACATCATAAAATTGATCGAGCACATATTGATCCGTTGTATACTATCCAGCTATGGTATTATAATATTCTTCTTTGTGTAAATATATGAAAACTATGCAACAGACCCCCACATACAGTCAGGAAAAATACAGTATAAAAACAAAACAATTACACTTATTATGGAAATCAGTAAAATTGATTAATTGGGAAAGAGCCTGACTTAAGGAATTACATATTCTTTGTAACAAATGTAAAGCTGGATTTTAGACATCTAAACCAAAGAATAATAATGAGCACTTATTAAAAACAAAATTTAAGAAAACCAGACAGAAGGGCAAATACTTACCAAAATTAGACGAGGACTGTTCTCTAGTTCTTCTTCGAACTATACAGCAGTTAAGCATCTGAAGTTTTTGGTGAAGGAGTGTTGATGCTAAGTCTGGTGATCCACTGCCAATACCCAGAATAGAAATTGCATTGTCCCATCGGTATCGGAATTCTAAAACAACCTCATGCCATAGATGAGCAGCAGCTGACAATCCACCAAGGGAGTGGGTCACATGACACAACACAACTGCCAATCGCCATACTAAACCATCAGCACCACTGCTCTTCATATTACTTAATAAAGCCTGCAAAAGACAGTAATTACTTAGGGCATATCTTACCTCCAGATCCCTTTTTTCCTCCAATCTTACTCTCCCTTCATTCACTGTCACTCTTGTTAAATGTGTTTTACTATAGTATTCCCCTTCTATAACAAGACCCCAAACATCTATCTGATTTATTCTTTTACACTTCTACTTATTCCTCAACATATTTCCTTTGCTAACACATCTCTCCTCTGCTTCTTCTTTTATTTACCTGAATCAGAAAAAGAGGAATCAAGGAGACATGTGATGACGACCAGATTTATTCTTAATGATGTGGTGATTGTTGTTTAATTGTGTTTTAGTTATTTTATTAGTGTAGGATTTTTTTCAGTGATACATGTGGGTGTCAGACTGGCTGGGAATGAATCCCATTGAACCCCATGTTATAATGCCACCGATTTACAATATTTCAATTTGTGATGGGGTTTTCAGGAACATAACCCCATTGTAAATCATGGATACCTGTATAAGGTACTTAAATATTTAAACATTGTAAACAGAAGGAGGGGTTACATTAATAAAGATGAGCCCTAACCTTCAAAGGATGTTCACCAGCTTGTTCACCTTCCACATTCCACTCTGGAATCTGACTCAGGCTGCTGGGGAAAGGTGCACTTGATTCTTCCCCTTCAGCATCAGGGAAGAGATAGTTGAGAATTGGAACAAGAATATCAGTTGGTATAGGACCCATCTCCCCAGACTGAATACTGGAGGACTGTTTTGAGCCTTTGGAACCAGGTCGCACTCGACCCACCATCTTAGACAATGTTGGCACAGAGGGTTCTGTCAAACGATCAAAGGCCGAGGAAAACTGTGCAGGATCTGAAAGTATAAATTTATTTTAAATTAAATGTAAAACTGTTTTGGACCTGAACAAACAGGCTGGGAAAAATTGTTTAAGCAACTTGAGCAAAGTCAAATGATCTATGAAAGTTCTCACCAATTCAGTATATTGATGAGACTAATATGAAAATAAAGAGAAAATGACAATGATGTAACATTACCCATCCCTTAAATAATAAGACACATTAGTAAAATATAAAAATGAACATATGACAGAAACAGTGATTAGAGATAAAAAGTGCAAATACAGTATACACAAAATATTCAGGAGTAGACATACTCAAAGAGAAATGCTTTAGGAAAAAGCCTGTGTTAATATATCACTTTCAAAAGAGTTGCATTAGTTTGTTATAGAGAAAAAAATGTGTACACAAAAAATGTGGTTGGATTAATGTAAGCTGGAACCAATGTAGAAGACAACAGAGTACGATAAAACCTAGTGATAAAATTATTTAACCTTGTGTACCACTGGGGATATACTGAACATATTTGTCTCTGTGTACAATCATTGAAACTGATACTGTATTAACACTCTCGCTCACCATGATGCATATAGGCGTCAACAATAATCTCACCCAATTGGCACAATGCCCATAAGCATCAGTCAAGAGAAAAAAAAAATCACAAAAAATTAAGTTGTTCTGAGTGACACTTGAGATTTTGGCACATCATTCTGGTAGGCTTCCTCTCTTATGGTAATCCATCACTAATTGGTTACTTGGCAACAATCCATAGCACGTCAACCATGTGACATCAGTGTTGTCCCGGAAGTAAAATTAGAAGCCTGAGTGAGTGAACCCTTAAAATGTTATCTTAATATCCACCTCACACACTTGTGCCATCTACTGTGCAGTAATATTAACCTGTAAAGTGTTAATAAGTGTTTACAAAGCATTCATTTATTTATTTTTTATGTTATTTTACTTACAGTATTCAAATTTGTAACCATCATGTGTGTAAAATGTGCCATAATGCCCTTCAGTAGATACGATAAACATCTGAGCTATCTATAAAAGTGCTGAAAAGTGTTTTAAATGTTTTATAAGTGTCTCTTAGTTTATTTTAGGATATTTCACTTGTTTAAACTTGTAAGCATCACTTGTGTGAACTCCATAATAAATTTCCTTCTGTGGATACAATAATGTCTGAGCATCTACCATCACATTGAAAGGTAAGATTGTTTTAAAATATAGTTTTATAAAATCATTATAATATTACAAAGATGTACAATGTATGTTACAATTCACTATGTATAACAGAACAGTACACAACGTGGGGATGGAATTTTTTTTTCTTCTAAAATCGATTACAGCCAAACTGTATAAGCCAGGAAAATTCTAAAACCACCATAACATACCTAGACACTTATACTAACCAATGGAATAATAAAATAAAGAAAAATATATGAAAATAATGTCAAAACTAAAAATAGTATGAACAATTTTGGAAAAATTATAGATATTCCGGTGTTTTCAATTTACCAGCCTTATTGCAGGGTATTACTCATATCGATTTTTTTTTTATTTCACCATTAAGTGTAATTTATATTTTTTATTATTTAACACTTATTGTCCTTAATTGGTTGTTTGTTAGCTAAAATACAAGTTGATTGTAATGAAAACTGTAATGCATGACTTAACATCAAAATGATTTCTTCTTTTTGCACTTTTTTATTATGTCAAGTGAAAGACCAATCAATTGTACGTATAATATAGTTGGTTTTATATAAAAAAGAACCGGTTTCTGAAAAATGTATGCTAAGAAAAAATAGATACAGCACGGGTCTTCCACGTAAGACGGTCACAACTAGCCATTGCATTGGAGGAGAACTTGTTAGAAATAAGGCAGTATGCGAGAGTGTTAAAGAGTTATCACGTATATACTGTACACCATTTACTGAATTGGGATTTGGAATAATAGTTAGCAGTACAAAAGTGTAAAACACCTTAAAATAACATAGAGTAGAGATATAAAGTATTGCACAGACAATTTTATCAAGAAACATTAGCTTATTAAGTATTGAAGTGTTTGACTGCTTAGTAAACAAATCACAATTACTATGATTTTATCACTAGATAATAAAGTGACATAAATTGTGTACAGTATAGTCTCGGTTTACACGGTCAATTAAACCCGTGGAGGTCCGCGTAAAATGAGAAATGCGTAAACGAAATAACAGAACATATGGGATTAATTGAAATAGAGACTGGGCTGACCCACAGACTACCCTTTTTCCGACAATACGTACGTTGTAGTAAAAAAACATCTTAATTTTATGATGGTATGCACACACAATTAATATTTAAGAGAAATATCAATAATATTAGGCTTTTTAACACTTACGTTAGTAAAAGAGATGGGGGGGTTGGTTCCGAGGCAGAGGGCAGATTATTGGCCCTCACCTGTATCACTTGTATCACCTGTATCACTATCCACCACAGAGGCTTGCAGGGTCTCTTTGTCAAACCCCTCAAAGTCCATATCATCACTATCACTGACTTGGGCTGGCTGTGGTGGGTGGCGGGTGAAGAACTCGGAAATGTTTTGCTGACTGGGCGACCTAGTGCGCACCCTGCCCGCGCCGCTTCCCGCGTAAATGATGAAATGTACCGTGTAACTAATAATTGCCGGTCTGGCCAGGTGCCGCGTAAATGACCAAACGCGTAAAGGAAATCCGCGTAAATCCAGACTATACTGTACAGTATTTGCATAGTAATCATTGTTTTTAGAGAAGAAAAATAACAGGGCAATGGTCACTAACATTTGACCTAAATTCCATACAGGTGCTGTACAAATTTATGTGCCATCAATGTCATGGATTACAGTCTCAGAACACAACCCTGTTTTTTATGGGATTAAAGCCCATAAATAACATAGTCTTCTCTACTGCAGAATCTTTTGAGGCATATTACTGTGATATAGCAGGGCTGACTGTATACAGCTTTTGCACTTGAAATCCATTAGCTCATACATGTCATCAAATGCCTTGTCCTAATTAGTCTACAATTAACATGCTAATAAATACAAAAAACATACCTTAAAGAATCAAGTTTAAATTCTAAAAAATTATACAAACCATCATCTGCTATACTGTATTTCATTCAGTTGTTCTTCAAAAGTCAAAATTATGATTTACAAATGGATGCTATACAAATACAGAATATGGCTACCTACATATAAACAACCTTCATGATTAAATCACTTGGTACACCTCAACAACGATCATATGTATAATTTCTTGGAAATAACTTACTATTGCAAAGATGTTGAAAATAATTTTCTACATAGAGCTATATTGTAAAGGAAATAAAATGCTTATGGTTACCATGTTTCTTATGAAACCACATCTCTTGAGCCAGCCTTAAATGAAATCACCATATGATCATGAAGATCAACACCTACTTCAATTCATTTACAGTACGTAATGGTGCTGAAGAAAATTTGAAAAAGTATTTGACGATTGTTTGAAAAATAACCAACTTCTAGAAGAAGAAAGTCAAATAACAATAAAGTACAATATTAAAAGAATTCTTCACTGCAATCAGTCCCACAATGCATAAAATGGCAAATGTTGACAAACACATATGATACAAGCTAAACACAAGGCCACGTCCTAAACTCACCTTTACCTTCAACCAGGCGAGCTAAAAACAAGGATGACACAAGGACAATCTTCAATAGAACATTAACTGAACAGCATCTCTACTCACACTGCTTGAACAGAACCAACATATAATTTTTGAGAAATTTCTTTGTACACTATATTACAGTAAATTATTACATATTTTCTATTTGTGGAGTAAAAAGTAGTTCTATAAACAGATTTCAAGCAGATTTAATACTCACCATCTACCTCTGGAGTAAATTCTGGTCCTAAGATCTGAGTTACAGATTGAGAATTTTGACACAAATTCAGAAATTCAGTCAGATATTCTGAGAGAAGACATGGAGGAGATGCAGCCGTCACCAGGCGGGCAGTCCACAGAGGGGCTGAACCAGGGTCTAGATCACTGTATACATCACTATCAACAAGTACATCTTCACTAACACAGGGCCATGTTGCAGACAGATGAAGCTCACTGCAAATATACATGTTTTTTATTTATAATGTTGCTGTACAAGGTGCAAAGCTTGCAAAAATGATATAATCACAAATGCAGAAAGGCAAAATGTAAAGACGTGATGACATGGATCATATAAATACTGAGATAAAGTTAATATTGTACTTAGAAAAAATTGATAAAAAAATACCTTATAAATGTACTGTACAGGTATCCATAGAGATACGAATGGGTTAGGTCCCCCCAAAATATTAGTTAGGTGAATTTACGTATCACGAATACATAAACATATGGAAAATATAGGGTTCAGTTCCCCAATGACAAAATTACTATATCGTATCCAAAGTCCTTATATATACAGTACTATATATATATAAAATCACTTACAGTAATATAAGAGAAAAAAATAGAATGACAAAATACATAAAATTAAAGTAAAAAATAAGTCATCAGGTAAAGGTACAGTGAACCCTTGAAGATCCGGACTAGAAAGGGGTGACCACGTGTCTGAAAAAAGCCGATGTATTTTTCGGCGAATGTACTAAATGTATAAAAACAAAAAAATAATGATATAAAAAACACCAAAAATACAGAACTGCATATGGCCTCAAAATGGCCCTCAAATATATCAGCTAAAAAAAGAAAAAGAAAAAGAAAAAAAAAAGTGACAGCCCCCTCCCCCCCGGCTATAAAAGCTTGCTTCGCTTGCCTCTTGCCTCAGGGGGATGGTGCCCCTTTTGCAAAATCTCAGCCCCGCCATCTGACAAAATCAATACACGGCCCTGTTGGCAATTCAATATTTACTTTACTTTCAAGCAACTTTTATTTGGTATTGTTTTAGGTGAAATAAGATAACCTTTTTTAATCATGTACCAAGAGTTCGTGTGCTTGCTGCCATGTACTGCTCGTACAGTGTGTTGTCATATACTGTCAATAAATGTACAACATGCTTTGCTTATCATGTACAATTGCAGAAATGTGTTTCTATGCCCAGTGTGGTAACCTGTGTCTCCAACAGTAGCGTTGCAGTAGTAGTCACTGTTTATGAGTGAATGGGTGTTGGTCATGTAATGACGGACGTGATTGGTGGATAGGTTTTCTACAGGTCATATAGGTTGGCCGTTTGGAGACGGGTTACCACAGGGGGGATAGGAACACATTTCCGCAACTGCATCATAATTATTGAGTTTGAAAACTGTTTTACTTGTCAATATATTTAATAATAAACTATCAGTACTAGAAAATCGTCATTACTCCCCTAGTGTACAATGTATCTTAAATATTTTTACACTTGCAGGAACTGTATTGTTGTGATTGATATGAGGCCTACTAGCCTCAATAAGACATTTGCTCCAATGTGGCTGAGTTGTTTACACCACATTTGTGTGCCATAATAACTTTGTTTGTAAGAAAACCGTAGTTAACACTGAAAAATACTTTAATGTTTTGAAAATACCTTGTACTACAGTTAGGTAAAATTTGTTTGAGTCAAGGAAATTAAGTTGCATCCCAGTACTGAGTGATTGAGACCTACCGGTGAAAATACCGACATTAGGCTAAGCTCAATAACAGTTGCTCTCCTGGAAAAAAAGGGGAGAACTGTTAAAAGGTAAATGTTGGCAAGTTTAGCTGACACCGAGAATGTAGGTTTAAAATTGCAGTTTAGGGGTCGACTTACCTGCCTAGATCAACAATTTCAGTTAAAATAAATAAGGTCATCTTATACGCCAGGTCGCCTTATAAGTCACAATATACGATAAGTATGTCTACCCGAAATTAAGAGTTGAAAAACAACTTGGTAAACTACAGTCAGAGAGTGTGCGGTATATTTGAAATTCCACCACCGTAAAACTGTCTGGACCATCAAAGGTTCTGGATCAGCAATTGCCGGAAATTCGGTGGTGTGCCTGTAATATGTTTTAGATCAGATGTAAAAATTGTGTCAACTGGGATACTAGAAATAAAAATCTTAACCTGAAGAAGAAAGGCTACTTTTTTTTTATGAATAACAAAATACTGCATGTGTAGACAAACAAGCAGGCAATTTGAACAATAAAATACAGTACATAGTTAAGATAAACATAAAATATTTGCTCACCTAACCGGATCACTCAGTGCCCCAAATGGTAATTTTCCGAGATCAGAAAATCCAACTTCAGTGAGTGTAGCATCAAAGTCTGGTGGTTGTTGTGTCCACAGTGTATGAGGCCATTCAGTGAGAACATAAGTGAACCTCACTGACACCAAAACTGGTGGAGAAGTCACGGTGCACTGGAGTTTGCTCCGAAAAACATCCAACAGCCCTGAAAGAGGCTATACTAGTAATATTTTGACATCAAACATTTGTTCATATTTTACCCAAAATGAAACCTCTGTTCATAAATATGTGTACATATACAAGGATTTTGCCTATTGTAAAAATTTAATAAAGGGCTGCAGGACACTTGGAAACTGAAAATCTTTTATAAATTGTAGTAGAACAGTTTGACTATTTGTTATTAAATTCGCTGACTGTGGTTGCCGTGGAAATATTAATTTGGGAGAAGGGTTTCTTGTCCCATTAATGTAACCTATGGGGATGAGGTTGCCTGTGAGATGGCATGTTGCCACTGTTACATGTAATAAAACTATAAAAGTTGTGGAAAAATCATTACAATACTCTAATGTGGCTTAGAAATAAAGAAAATATAATATAAAACTATAAAATAAGAAAAATGAGGAGCATGGGTGTGTAAGTGTGTGAAATGAACGTATGAGTGAAGACAGTGGGCTGTAACTGCACCGCCAACTCACCACCCATTTGCACTCTCCCTATCCCGATGTAACGTCACTTTGCACAATGCAGCAGCTACACACGTCTCTAAGTCAGCTGGGTGGATGCCCGGCTGAACTGTGGCAAGTGCCCAGAGGATGGTTTGAGTATGGAAGGGGCTTTTTTTTTTCTTTCTTTTTTCTTTTCTTTTTTACATAAAATATGTGCTATTGCATTTTATCATATGCTATATCAATTATATTGTTTATCATAGCAATTTTTATTTATTTTTGACATGTGCAATTTGAAGTGTATTCAAATTAGGCTAACCTTGTGCTCACTAAATCGTTTGACTCTGAACCATATCATTATACAGTACAGTAATATCTCCGTTAGCCGGATTCCCTCAAACCCAGAACTCTCCAATAGCCGGAATTGAAATGTGCTACGTTAGGGTTTTCAGGAACACAACCCCTTTATTAAACAAGGAGTACCTGTCCTGTAATTAATTTTTACATAATTTCAGATTTTTTGCTCATAAAGCAAAGTTTGGCACAAAATAGGTGTCTTTTCTTTTACAACTACAAATTATCGTAAATCAAATCCTTGTAAATTGGGGTGTGCTTACATATGTTTTTTTTTACCTTGCAATTACTGTTTGACACATGCACACACCTCAGTTACTATGACTCAAAATTGAATACAGTATTTCATGCCACTTTACAAATTATTTATGAAAATCAAACTTACCAGCCAGATGAGTACACTGACGAGGAGGTCGCTTCATGTGAACCATGTCATAATCAGTACGTACACCAGACCCCAAGCCTACTCCTAAGTACATTTTCTCACTTGCTAGTAGAACCTGAACAAACATGGGCACCTGACTGGAATATTATAAAACATTGTATTATTACTACAGTATTTACCTTAATATAGGAGGATATTTAACGGATAAATTATAAAGACATGATACATTTTACAGCCACAAAAGGCAACAAAGCTACTATAAGTATATTCATTGACAAGTAAAACACACTTCTCACCAGTTGGTATTATTGGCAGCTATTGTAAGTGATGACAAGAGAAGTTTTGATTTTGATGGACAGAGGATGGAATTATTGGGGTTTGACGGGCAGATGGTGACAAATTCTCTCAGGCCGTACCAACGTACTAAACAATGGGCTCGAGCTGGGAAGTCATTCTCCCTATTCATGAGATCATCCAATGCCTGTGGCAATCTCTCTGTTTCTTCTTCATTTTCATATTCTGGAAATAAGATATAAATGGTGAATTATCAACCTCCAGTATACAGTACATATATGGTCCTATGAAACAAAAGGATGGTTCATTCAGAACTTTCTTCATCCATCACATATTCTAAATATTTATGAAGATTTTCTATGAATATAACAAGCTAACCAAATAAATTCTTCAATCTGTTTTTAACACTTTTCTGTAACCTATCTTACCTCTTTAAATAACGCCTATTATCATTACACTCCCATACAGTGGATTTGCCTTAATTGCGAAATACTAATTTGCATTCTTTAATTTGCAGGTACCTCTATAACTGCCTCTTATTTAAATTTTGTGGTCAAAGAGTATTTATAATTTGCAGCTAAGCACCGACCGTCACAGTTTTTAAATACATAAGAAACCATAAGAGTTGTGGAAATATCCTTTCATAGCTCTAATTTGACTTAGAAATAAAGAAAATATAATTATACATCAAATATCACTTCAGTCATCTACATTGTGACTTAGAAATACTGTACACAATCTGTTGGAACCGAGTCAGGAGCTTATATTCCTGTAAGGTTGGTTGTCTTTTCTGGTTACTGAATCATGTTGAGGCTGCCGCGTTTAAATCTCAAGGTCAATGCACTTGGTGAGCAGGTTCCCACTGCAGCCTAAAGAGCCCAGCAGCAAGGTTTCCATTTGGTACCGTATTTTCCATTACAGTACGGTAACAAATTCAAGGAAATTTAGTAATGATAAATCTATTTGATAATGAAAAATGTTTTGGTAATGATGATATGCTTAAAGGATATGGATACAATACAGTATGTATCACGAACAAAATGTTTGATAAAATCTCTGCTGAACTGTATGATCACTTATCAGAGGGGAAGGAGGAAGAGGGAGGGTTGAAGGCGATGCCGTGGCCAACCTGTACAACTAAATTACCAGTGATAGTGATTCCTTGTCAACAGATTTATTACATGTCAGTCAAATCACGAATGTTAAACCATCATTAATTTTTTCCTTTATTGTGTTCATTTTTATGAATTAAAACAAAATGGTAATGAAGCATTCGATTTGGTAATGATAAATATGGATTTGGTACTGACTGCAAAATCAGAGTTGGTAACTGTGCCTCAGCCTTCCACTGCCCTCTCTCCCACATCCTCCTATGCACTCTCACTCTCTCTATCGCAGTTATCCTGTTAACAGTACCTGCTAGTCTCTCTTTTCATTACACCAAGATGTCTAAGCAGGTATCTCTGGGGAGTTAAACAATTAATTTGTAATTTAATTTTGACATTTACAACTGCTAGTTTATTATGCACCCCATACTCATCCATGGTCAGTACAGTAATATCTCCGCTAGCCAGAATCCCTCAAACACGAGACTCTGAAATAGCCGGAATTGAAATTTGTGTTATTTTTCCAGAAAATTCCCTTAATTCTGGGTTTGGGAACAAATTCCGAGGTTGAAAATTAGAAGCACTTTCTGAAAATTAAAAAAAAAGTAAAAAATCTGGAAAATCTGTCCAAATTGTTATTTGTTCAAATTAATAGAGAATATTATTATTGTACTCATAAAACCTTGAAGGAAATTGTAGATACACACCTGTGCTTGGCTCAGATTCATCGGGAGGAGACTCAATACTTTCACTGACGATGCTGAAGTGGGTCATCTTGAAAGGAAAATCTGCAAATACACAGAAAACATTTATTCCTCTCCCTACTGTAACTAGACTGTTAAACTGTACAGTATAGTCATATAAGAAATATCAATGAATGGTGCAAAATATCCCTTGAGTCAGGGCTTGGCCAATTTAAAACAATGGTTTAAACAAAACATAAAAACCATTGCTGTTGGTTTCTGTTTCTCAACCTATAGGCCCCGGGTGATGTTTCAGAACGTCTGTTTATTTCCGCTACTGTTTTTTTTTTAGGGGGGGGAAGTTTATTTTTCTCGCTTTAGCCCCGCGGGGGGAGGAGGGGGTACTGTCGGCAGCACTCTAACCCGGGGATTAAGGGTTAATCTCTGCCTTTTCTATTGGTCTTAATAATTATTTTTGGGTGATTTTTATCATTTCCTGGAAGCTTTAATGATTATAGTAATTTCCAACACCACTAATACTAAAAGGATTGTAACTACAGGTACAGGTATTAGATTATAAAATTCAATTTGAAGTCATGACCAAGCATATGGATACAACCTACTTCATAATCTTGTTAACTTCTTAACACTTTCTTTATCATTTATTGGAGTATAGTACGTACAGGTATTTCTTTTTATTCTCAAGTCTTTGACTTAGTAATGTTTCGAGCGCTAGTGAATTCTTTAGCAGAACTACCATTATAATTAGTATTGTTACTATTTTTCTTAAATTATTATAGTGTGTACACATTTGCATTTTTGTGTAGGCAAGTTTATATGCCATTTAGCCAACTAATTGCTACCGGGTATTCAAAATGACTTACCTACGAACTTAACTGTAACTGTCCTCTCACTCCATTTTGCTGTGGCTAACTGTCCCTTATTAAGCGGGGACAACTGCCTCTCCCCGGATAGCCTCCACTCATGTACAGCCTCCACCACAGCAGCAATGAAGCATTCCCATTCAGATGCAGTTGTGAAGTCAACTATTTCAAATACTTCCTGGTCCTGAAAATTAACCCATTATATAAATCTGAGGATTGAATTGCCAAAGTACACAGAATACCTGGAGAGGTTGGTTACTGGTATCATTAGTATGTAACACTGGTTTATATTTTACATAAAAAATTAAATATTAAGCTATATACAGTATAAGCCTTACAAACTAATGACACATGTACCAAAACACAAATACAGATAATGCAGATTCTGTGTAAAATATTTCTTCTAACGTCTTTATTTCATCATCATTTTAAGTCTGAATTTTTTAACACAACTGTATTAAAAAATATACAGTATGTATACTGTACTGTAAAGAGTTACCATCATTATAAATAACCATGCATTTCTGATTTTTAAACTGTACTGTATTAGCATTTTACACATTTCCTCTTTTTCAAAATCATGCAAAGGATGTAAGATCTTCCATCCAGATAGGTGCCACCTGTACAATAATGAGGGAAACACTTAACATATATTTGAAGCATCAATTTAACTATAATACTGTATGTATGCCACATAAATTGGGTTTTATTTACAGTACAAAATTTCCTACATCCAAGAAATCTCAAATTGTCTTTATTTTTTACTGGTTTTCAAAAACCTCTTCAAGAAGATAATCCAAAAATGGATGATTGAATACTGGAATCCCAATTTATGAGTGAACATTGTGGGTGACTCCTGTTTATACCAGTTAACTCATCTACGATATCAGAACCTGTGGTACTTTATTAGAGTGGCTAAGAGTTAATATACAATATGAAAGCTGCTCCTTCCAGTTACAACCCGAGCTCTCAAGGCTTCTCCAAAGATAATGTACTGTCATTGTTGCTAAAAACAGTAGGGAACATGCATCATTGCCTTTTGAAGGAGTATTTACGGTAAAAACTAAATTCTTAACATACCAAAGCACGTAGACGTAATTTCATTGTCATATGATCGGTTTTTCACCATGTTTTACAATGCAATTTCCTTCATCCTTCATGCCCTGCCTACTACAGGTGAATTATGATCATAGAAAAAAAAATGCAGTTATTATTCGGATAGTGACCATCCACTGTTTTAATTGAAAAAGGGTTTAGAAATAACCATTTTTTCATAGGTTTTATTATAGGACACTTTACTATGTTGATAAAAATATAAAAATGACAAAAATCATGTGCTAACCTAACCTATATAGTAACAAGCCTAAACTTAAAAAAACTAAGCACGTATAAAAGAAAATTAATAGAACTGAAAGTAATCAGCGTACAAAACTATCTAAGAACACCTTCATAATTACTGAATCACTGACAGTCAAGAGTCGTATATTAGATAAAAATGCTTATAATTATAATAAAAAATTGGGTATTATTGCTTTTAATTGCCCCACAACTTTTGGCTTTTTTAATATACTGTACAATTTTAAAACACAAAGGATTACCAAGATACAGCTTGATTATTATTAAAAACGTCGTGTATATTTTGCCGGGACCGACTAAGTTCCTACTAACGCTATTTTATTATATGTGCGCTTTGATTGGCTAAGTACTTCTGCTTCATATGTTAGGGAAGGTTAGGTAGGTTTCTTTGGTTGGTTAGGTCAGGTTCTATTAGGTTCTAGTACACATCACCTGTTTTATAATGATAGGAACATTGTGGAAAAAGAGAACAAAATCGAAAACTACTTCTGGTTAAGTATGTTTATAGATACACAACGATTTACTCACAGTGTAATAAATGCCAAATGCCGCTAGTCATGGTCACATATTGTTCTCGCATTGTTAGCTGGTAATGGACGATTAGACAATCAGAGCACACTCACAGTAAAATAGCATTAGTAGAAACTTAGCCGGTCATGGTAAAATATCCACCGCCTATTAAAAAATTGTCTGAAAAAACGAAGTTAATTTTGTTCTGTATATTTTTAGTGGTTCCCGTGTGTGCGTCTGTGTGTTAACACTAGACCTGGCTCCTCCCACTACATGGAAGCTCCACCCAATATGCGAGCGAGGTTAGGTTAGGTTCTGACAGCAAACTCTGCTTCACCCGCCCCCCCTCCCCAAAAACCACTGATTTCCCCCAACATTTTAAGGACAACAAAATTATGTTTGGTAATCATATAGGACTAACCCACGAGAGAAATTGATTGAAAACAAATATAAAAACGTCGGATTTTCATTGTTATAGTGGACACTGCTGTAATTTGTGGAAATATGTTAAAAATGGATATTTTTAACATAAACGCTAGTTAACATTTGTGGGTATGAAATACAGACCTAACCAACCAAACCAAACAAACCTACCTAACCTAACCTAACCTAACCTAACCTAACCTAACCTAACCTAACCTAACCTAACCTAACCTAACCTAACCTAACCTAACTTCCCTGGTATATTAAACAGAAAGAACTTACTATTGTGAAATTTGAGGCACTTTCTGGACGCGAGATGATACGGCCGCATCAGCCCCGGCGGGTTAGTCCTATATATTAACCTTATGTTTTTCCAATGGTTTTTGATTAGGTCCGAATGGTTATGACCTTCATTTCCGTTGGAAGTCACTCGTTTTTGGGAGGGGTAAAGGGGGGGGTGGGGATACCACAGAGACGAATGATCTCCAATGAAAATGAAGGTCATAATCGTATAAAAAATTCATCAAAAACCATCAGAAAAACAGTGGAGTGGGGCAATTAATTGAAAATTTACCCAAAGTTGTTGCCTTCTTTTAATGTACTTACTATAGTGATAAGAACATGAGAAAAAAATAAACGACAACTCCTGGTGGAAGTTCTCAGAAATTACCGTATAATTTACCATACATTCATCATCACTTACGTCTGCAATCTGAGTCCCCATGGCTTGTGTTTCTGGTTAATGAGTCAATCAGACTGCCAAGTACGAGCAATTAATAAGTTGTATTTCACTACACAGATCAGTCATGAAACAGCTGACAGATATAAACAAAGAAGACTCAGAGGGGTCACTACGTTGTCAGGACGTGCAGGTAAGGCGCTGCCATCTCTTTAACAGGTCATAAACTATTTTTTGTACAAATTTTACATCATGTACTGGGTACTCTGGACACTTTTATCTCTCATAATTTCTTAAATGTTGTTGGAGTAATTGAATTACTAACCTTATTACGCTCTTAATGACCTTAATGGTTGAAGTGCAGAAATAATAAAAAAAAAAAAAATCTTGAAATGCAGCTACATTTTCAATCATGATTCTATATTGTCTATTTTGACGAGAAACTACAAATTTACTTCGCACACAAAAAAATGTGAATTAGAAGTTTGCGGCGAGTTCCATTACAAGGGAGCCCAAAGGGACTACAAGGGGGTCCCCAGGGGTCCTTGGGACTACCAAGGGCCCCATGGGTCTGCCAGAGCGCCCCCAGGATCCCTGGCAGGGCTAAGGGCCCAAGGGGACTACCAGGGCGCCACCAGTGTCCCTCCCAGGGCCAGAGGTCCCATGGGACTACCAGGGCCAGGAACCCATGCGACTACCAGCCCGGGGCCTCATGGGAATACAAGGGGGTTCCCAGGGCCAAAAGCACCATGGGACTACCAGGGGTCCCCCCAAGGGCCCTACCATGGTTAGGGATCCATGGAACTATCAGGGCGCCCACAGGCGCCTTGCCAGCGCCATGGGGCCAATGAGACTACCAGAGCCCCTCAGGGACAACCAGGGGGCCCCCAGGAGCACTGTCAGGGCCAGGGGCCTCCTGGCCGTCCTCTGGAGACCTGGTAGTCCCATAGGACCCCTGGCCCTAGTAGTCCCATGGGGCCCTGGCAACGCCCCTGGGGGCTCCTTGTTCGTTCTCTGGGCCCCCTGGCCCTTGTAGTCACATGGGGCCCCTGTCCATGGCAGGGCACATGATGGTCCCCTGGGGGCAATGGCAGGGCCCCTATTTGTCCCATGGAACCCTGGTAGGCCCCATGGGCCCCCTAGTAGTCCCCTTGGGTCCCATGGTTATCCCATGGAAGTCAAGCAAGGGCCGGGGGGGCCTTTGCTTGACTTCTGGTAGTCCCAGAATAACACAACAACACCAGAATCGCACCCGGTAAACCCATAGTTGGCGAGTACGTAATATTATATGATTACAAGTATTAGAAATTACATTGAACCAATATAATTCACATCCAGTGCAAAAAATAAACAAATTTCAAAGGACACACATCTTTTATATCTTCTTTCATAGAAAACCACACCGCTCTTTCAACGGTGACTGATACAAAAATAATATACAGTACACATCTTAATATATTAACCGTATGTAAATAGTAGTAGTAGTAGTTTACTGACAAAAGTATAAATACATGTTAAATATATACAAAGAATTAAAAATACAATTGTCCAACAAAATATTTTAAATCAAAACATAATATGTAAGGGACAATTTCAAACTTAATTATAGATTCCCAGTACTTCATGTACATAATTGCATACATCAGGAACACATACATTTTCATTTAAGAGTTCACCGATACTGGAGAAAGTCAGCATATGATATTGTAGTGGATTTCTCCCCTACAAACGCTGTTTGTCGCTGAGTAGCCGACCCCGCGAATTCCCCAGTGTATGCCTCGTGGTCTAGGTCAACCAGCGCCGCCTTACATGACGGAGGTCAACTATTAAGCCACGCCTACCTCCGCTATATAAGACCTGACCTCGTGGTGACCTAGCTCTCTCTTCTTCTAGCTACAACCGCAGCAAGCAACACCACCTCCTCCGCAGCTGCCTGGCGGCCCTCGCTCCCGCCGGCGAGCATGGCGACCCACAAGCTGTCCTCCTCTGAGCACCCTCACCAACCAGCTCTCTCTACTCAACGCTTGCAACCATGCTGCCTTCCCAGCACCAAGCTGCATTGTACATCCAATATACAACATGTATACAGAGAGCACATTGTGAGTTTCCTTTCTCCATCCCATCCTGAGTGTGAACCAAAACAACCTGTTCCCCACAATATATTTCACGACAATGTGCAGAGAGCGTACAATCGATCAGCACATGTCGTTCACTTTGTACACGACTGTCGTCTCACTGACGTAATCTCAACTCTGCTGGTGTGCGACTCCACCTGCTGTGTCTACTTTAAGGTTGTGTGCCACTAGTCTCAGCCTGGTGAACGACTCGCGCTGAAAATCAGGGATAAATTTCTTACTTAAGTATACCTCATGTACTATCATAAAAGGGTTCAGATCGGATATGTATGTAGCAAATTTTGTAGCGCCAACTGACCTCTCCGTTACCAGATTCGCCACTCTGTCTAATGGGTTTGTGTTACAGTCTAAGGTAATTGCTCTCTTCATGAATATAAATCCTGGTGTATTTGCTATCCTACATAAATCATATACAAAATGAAGATGTTGTTCCATGTCCATTATCTCATGTTTTGATTTCATAAACTTGCATCTCCTCTTTGCGATAATGTCTTCCACTGGGGGAATACCTGACTCGATCATGCACAGATTCATACTCGTGTTTTTCCTCACGCCTAACAAGCACTTCATCAGATTATTATATTGCCTTTCCAATCCTTTTAAGTTATTGGTCAGCCACTTCTCAGAACCGTACAATAATGATGACGTTACTACAGAATCAAATATTTTTTTCTTGTATACAAATGGCATTTGTGTGTTGGCTGCACAAAAGAATACATAGCCATATGTAACAGTCCTGTCTACCCAGGAGGTTCCTCATCACCCAGAGCTGTCCCAGCTCAGATATCCTCCATCCTTGGATGAGGTAGTTACTGCCATCAAGCAGATGAAAAATAACAAAGCCACAGGGCCTGATGGAATCCCAGCCGTCTCCGCTCTCTCCAGGAGAATATATGGGAGGGGGAAATCCCACAAGATCTTAAAGATCGTCAATATTTATAAGACCGTTGCAACTACTGCAGGATCTCACTGCTGTCCGTAGCTGGCAAGATTATCGCTCGAGTCCTCCTAAACAAACTTCTTCCTGAGGCGGAAAATTTCCTCCCAGAATCTCAATGTGGCTTTAGACAAGGGGTGTCAAACTCATGGCCTGCGGGCCAAATGTGGCCCTTGGGATGGTCAGGTATGGCCCGCGGGATGACGGTAAAATTTATCATCCCATGAAATTATGAAAAAAAAAAAAAGATATAATCATGTTTATTTAGTAAAAGGAATTTTACAGAATTAAGATCAGACAAACCCAAATGAGGTATTCCTGGTAAGCCAGGTAAGGCAATGTGTGAAGCTGTAAACTTTAATCCTGCAAATATGTGATATAGCACTTGTGTTGGCCCTGAAGAGGGTAACTAAAATAGGAATTGGCCCTCGAAAGGTTTTGAGTATGACACCACTGTTTCAGACCATCAAGTGGCACCACTGACATGATATTTGCTGCCCCTCAGATAAAGCGTCGTGACTTGTACATGGCCTTCATTGACCTTACTAAGGCCTTCAACTCAGTCAACAGGGAAGTCCTCTGGCGGAATCTCAGTCATTTTGGCTGCCCATCAAATTTAATTGCCATTGTGAGGTAACTCCACGATGGAATGAAATGCAGTGTCCTACACAATGGCACCCAGTCTGAGTTTTTCCCCAAACGGGGGTAAAACAAGAATGTGTACTGGTACCAACTCTCTTTTCCGTTTTCTTGGCTGCCTTCCTTATTCGTGCCGTGCCAATTTAGCTGGCGAGGTGGACATCCAGTACTGGATGAAGGTATTTTTCAACATAAAATGACTCCAGGCAGGAACAGAGGTGCCGGCCGCTTCCATCATTGAACTTCAGTATGCAGACGACCTCACCATCATCACTCACATTGAACACGACCTAAAGGAGACCCTGTGCACCTACGCAGATGCGTATGCACTTCGGCCTTGAGGTGAATGTACGTAAGACTCAGATTCTCTTTCAGCCTGCCCCTGATTCAACAACACCTCCACCATCTTTCCAGTTAACGGTACTACCCTCTCTAATGTTACCCACTTCCAGTACCTTGGCTTCCACCTGTCCACCACCACGGATATCGATGAAGAGATTTAACATCGGATCAGATGTTCATCTCAAGCCTTTGGTAGACTCCGTACCCATGTCTTCAGTTGTAAAAGGCTGAAATTATCTTCAAAGTTTCACGTGTATCGAGCAGTGGTCCTCCCCACCCTGCTATATGGCAGTGACACATGGGTCACATACAGGAGGCACCTTAAGGCACTTGAAAACTTTCACCAACGTTGTCTACGTTCCATCCTCCGAGTTCGCTGAGAAGACAAGAGAACAAATGCCTGAATTCTCACTGCCACCAACTGCAGGAGCACAGAGGCTACCAATTACCCATGAACAACTACGTTGGACTCATGTTACCAGCATGGACGGCAGTAGACTGCCAAAGCAGCTACTTTACAGTCGCCTAACGAATGGTAAACGTAACATTGGTGGACAGCAGAAAAGATTTAAGGATAGTCTTCAGACAAACCTGAAAAAGTGCCAAATCGACCCCCTCAACCTGGAGACGATCACTTCGCACTGTAACACTTGGAGGAGCTCCACACAAAAAGGTGGTGAACACTTTCGAGTTTGCCCGACTGCATACAGAGGGAGACAAGCGCCAACGCCGGAAGGACGCTGCCGTCGCCTCTCCCGTAGTAAATAAAGCCCTCCTGTGGGCAGCCCTGACGATCCCGTATCGGGCTCTCGAGTCACCTCAGAGCTCACCATCGAAGGTGACATCCTCAATAACTCATATCATTGTATCACAGCTGGATGATCGTCATACTCTATTCCAAGTGGCAGCAATGTAATAGTGGTAGTAGAGGGGTGTGTGGTGTGTTAGATGAATATGTAGAGTGCTAGAAAGGTGTGTGGTGTGTTAGATGAATATGTAGAGTGCTAGAAAGGTGTGTGGTGTGTTAAAGGAATGTGTGATGTGTTAGAGCGGTGTGTGGAGTGTTAGAATGGTGTTGGACGGGTGATGAAATTTAAGAATATCTGTGATACAGCTGTCAGCTTCTCCTCAAGATGTGAGAGGGCTAAGACAAGGGCAGATGAATGAACCCCATGCCCTCAGGATCACACTAAAGAATGAGGAAAAAATTAAAACTATTTAGCCGGCAAAAAACTTACCAAACAACGTAGCTTTCTGGGGCATATTCATAAACCCAGATCGTACGGTAGTGCTGAGGGAACAGCACAAAGAACTCCCGAAGTGCTTGAAGTGCAAGAGGAAGGAATCAATGAATGTAGTGGAGGCAAGTGCACCAGTACAGAACCAGGGGGCAGCGGGACACCCCCCCCCCCCACCTAGGAGATGAATATCATGTAAGCAATGTCATCTCCAGCCACACCCCACAAAATATGACGAGTGTAATAAACGAGTCAGCTTCTGAGAATGGAGGGAGACTGGAGTCAGTACCAAGACCAAAGATGTTAATGAGGACTATTTCCGGCTTGAGAGTCATGTATACCAATACTGACACCTTCCTTAAACAGAGAATAGAGTTTGAAATCTTAATCAAGACACATCAACCAAATATAGTAGGTGTTGCAGAAATGTTGAACAAAAAGAGGAGAATCAACCCGGAGGACTATGAGTTCAATATAGTGGAGATGGATATGATCCATTTACGAACCTATCTCAGGCAACATGCAGAAGGGTGTGGTTATCTATGCTAGTCAAGACGTTAGAGTGAGACAGGTGAGGGTACAGTGGGTCTATTGCCCTTGGGGACGTATTTTTAATTATTATAAATAATTTCAACATTATTAGTATTAGTATTATTACGTGTTTTCGCATATAAGTCAAGAGGTCAAAACTGGAGAGACGACGTGAAATTGAAAAACCAACTTTTGTGATTTCCCAGAAGCTGAGCAACAGTGATATTGGAAGAAAAAAAATCCCCCCCAAAATCCTTTCTCATATTACGTGGGTTGGCACTTCCACCGCGACAGAATTCTTTCATTCGTTCATTACATCCAGAATGACAAACACAAGTCCAAGTTAGCGAG